CCCCCCCCCCCCCCCCCCCGCCGCTGCCAACACAGAAGAGTCAGACACAACGGCTGCCCCCAAGGAGGTTCACGCTGAAAAATGAACTGGTCTTTATTCTAAACAGTACCAGGGTGGGGTGCCGGAGGGGTGTCTCCGCACCACACCGCGACTCGGCGGACAGGGCTAGGGGGGACCAGGACCCTCAGGGTGAGCGGGCCCACCCCTCCCCTGCATCACCAGGGCCTCAGTGCCCACCTCCCCGCCAACCAGCAGCGACACGGCACCCTCCACTCGGCCTGTGGCTGCCAGTGCCACCACTGCCTGTTCTGTGGGGAAGCCCATGCGCTCCAACTGCTGCAGCCTGTGGGACGGAGGGAGGGAACATCAGGGCCACCTCCAGCCCCTGCCCCAGGCCCCCCCGCCCCCCGCCCCGGGCCACCCGCCTTACCGCAGAGAGGAGACGGACGACTTAGGCAGCCATAGCGGGCTCTCAGAACACGGGGCTGGCCCGTCAAGGAGTGAGGCCTGGATCCCCTCCTGCAGCATCTGCTCATCCAGGGCTGCCCACAGCGGGGTCCCTGGGGGAAAGCTGGGCCCAGCCCAGGCCGGGCCCACCTCTGAGGAGACTTCCCAGGTCGGCTGCACAGGCTCCAGGCCTGGCGGGCGCTGGGCTGAGCCTTCACCGCGGAACCAGAGGCTAGGGGAGGCCATGTAGGGAGGTCCAGGGGTGGGAGGCCTGGAGGGGCAGAAGCAGAAGGCCTGACTGCCAGTCCCCACCACAGCTTCTGCCAGCAGGGCCGGTGTCTTCGGTGTCACGCTCACCTCACTCCGGTGGGATGGGTGACAGGCAGCTCGGCCCGGCCGCCTGGGGTAGGAAGGAGTCTGAGTGGCCAGCACCCGGCCAGGGCCCTGCACAAGACGCCTTCCTGCAGTGCCTGCAGCCGCTGGTCCGACAGCTCCAGCCACTGGAAGGCCCCGGCTGCGTCTGGCTGCCCAGGGCAGGGCGGCTGGTCAAGGAAAACCAAAGCCAGCCGGCGGGGAGTTTGGGGGGCCGGGAGAGATCCAAACTGCATGCCAGGCCCCGGGCCCAGTGTGTGCCAGCCATTCCCTTGTGTCTCCTCACCCTAGTCAGCTCTCGGGAAAAGTGGAGGCACTCGGGAAAGGAACCCACCAGAAGCTACTCAGCATGTAACAGGTGAAGCCAGGTATATCTCCCCACAAAAGCGATCTCCCCCCATTTCAGCCACCCTCCCCCCAGAGCCCCGTGAGACTACTCAGGTCTGACTCAAGGCCCACCCTGGGGCCCACTGACACCCCCCCCCCATTGCCCTCAGCCAGGGCGACATACTCCCCATGCCAGGATTCAGCCAGGTTGGGCAGCTGGTGTCTCCAAGCCCAAAAACACCACAGGGGGGTCAGCCTGCGCCCACTGTTCTCTCCAAAAGCACCGTTTCCCCCAACAGGCATGAAGCATCTTTGAAGCAAAAGCCTGTATTTAATGCACCAGCAAGCACAGGTGTTCCCCCTTTCAGCGCTGAGCCCCAGGCTCACTCCCACCCTGGCCTTGTACTTCCTGCCTGGCTGGCTCTCTTTTTCACTTCTCTTCCCCTGAACCCCTCATCCTGCACATCGTACCTCAGATGCCACCCTCACTGGGGAGGGCCAGGTTGGGTGCCTGCTTGGGCCACTGCGGCCCCCCTGGCCTTCCCTTTAAATGGTAGTTGGCACCTCCCCCTGGCCATTGGCCCTGAGCCCACCCTGCCCGGAGCCTGGCTAGAGAACCCGGAGATGCTCCCGGAATGCGTCTGAGCCACTTCCCAGCATTGTTGGGCCTGAACCCCCTGTGCCACTTCCCTCCTGGGCACCCTGGGGGCCCAGCCACGGAACCCAGGTCCACACAGGCCCTGAGCCCCGGCAAAGGATACAGGCCAGGCCAGCAAGAAGGCCGCAGAACAGCTGCAGGAAGGGTGGCTCAGAGCTAAGCAGTGGTGTCAAGGCGAGCAGCAGCCAGGGCAGGAGCCATGGTGGCAGGATCCCCTGGGGCTGGCGAGGGTGGTGACCCTGCCCAGCCAGCATGGCCAGGTGGACCGGCATGTAGCCACAGCCGCCGGCTGCACTGGACACCCCAAGGCCTGCCAGCAGCACCCCCATGAGCCCGGCAGCCAGGGCGAGCAGGGCAGAGGCATGCAGGAACCGCAGTGTGCCCAGGTGGCACTCCTGCCACCAGCCCAGCGTGGGCAGGAGCAGCAGGCTCAGGAGCAGGCCAGGTAGGGCCGTGTGGCCCAGGGCATGGGTCAGCAGCCGGTGCACTGGGAGAGAGAAGGAGCTTATGTGCCGGGTTAGTGGCTCTAACCCCCAAGGCTGGCCCAGGTTGGCAATTACCCTCTGCAGGACGCCTGCTAAGCCAGCCTCCTCTCCCCAGGAGCCAAAGTGCCCACTGCCAGCACTTTAATCTCTCATGAAGGGGACCAAGGGCTTCTAAATGCTGCGACTGCTCCCCTGCTGTGTTAACCAGAACAGGCTGAGCCCACCAGTCAGTCTTCTCAAGAGCAATCCAACTGTGGATGAGTCACTTAACGTTTGCTCGGAAGCAACGTTGCCCACTCCGCTGGGGTCACCCTTTAAACTCCCAGCACCTCCTCAACATTCTCATACTAAGCTGAAAGCCGTAGTTCTTATTTTAAGGGAAAGCCACCAAAAAGGGAAGCCATCTGAATAGAATTCCTACTTACAAGCTCCCACCCCTCTGCTGGCCCCTCTGCCTGGGTGCTCTGCCCTCCCTGCTTGGCTGCGGATGAGCTGGGCACGCTCCTGTCCCAGGCCAACCTTCCCCATGCACTGGGTCCTATCCCTGCTTGACCGGTGCAGGATGCATGGCGCTCCTGCGAACCAGTCTCAGGCCCTAGAGCAAGCCTCCCGCCTCCTCCAAGGCCCAAGGGGCCAGCCCTCACCCTGCCAAGGCAGCAGCTCCGGGGCCAGGGCAAGGCTGGGGCCAGCCCCCACCAGCCACAGGCTGCTCAGGAGCAGCATCAGGACAGAGGAGGCGAGAGGCAGCGCCGGGGACGGTAGGCCGGGGGGGCCTCGGGCACGCATAGCGTGGCTGAAGGTGTCAAGGGTGGTCTTGAGGCTGTGTGCTAGGGGTAAAGGAAAACGATAACAACAGTTATTACTGCAATTTTTATCCAACTCCTTCCACCTACCCTCCCGATGGCCCCATTTTATAGAAGTAGAAACTGAAGCTGGAGGGGCGCCTGGGTGGCTCAGTTGGTTAAGCGACTGCCTTCGGCTCAGGTCATGATCCTGGAGTCCCGGGTTCGAGTCCCACATCGGGCTCCCTGCTCAGCGGGGAGTCCGCTTCTCCCTCTGACCTGACCCCCCTCATGTGCTCTCTCTCTCTCTCAAATAAATAAAATCTTAAAAAAAAAAAAAAGAAAGAAAGAAACTGAAGCTGGAGAGGCAGGCCCAGCAACCTGACCATAGAGGAGCTCAGATCTTAACCACATGCTTAGCCATCTTGCCATCCCCTCTGCCTGTGTGTGAGGATGGGGAGGAGCTGAGCCAAAAGGGTTCTGAAGAGCCCGGGGTGTGAGGCGTAAGGCCAGGGAAGTTGAACTGGGGCTCTGGACTCCCAAAAAGAGGGGTGCAGCATGCCAGGGCAAACTCAGGGCCATCTCCAGCTTTCCTCTGCCTCCCTCTTCCCTGAAGCTGCAGACCAGCCACGTTCCTCACTCCTCCCCTCCACCCGGCCCAGCCTTAGAGCTCTAGGTGGACTCGGCTGCCCTTGAGGGTGAGGCCAGCCAATGGGCAGGCAGATTAGGAAGGGGGTGAGGCAGAAGGGCTGGAGGAGGGGCAGGAATCCCACACTCTGAGGGCATACAAAGCGACACTGGACAGAGTCATCCCCTCCCTCCAGCTTTGAGCACAGCCCCTCTGGCCCTAGCCCCCCTTTTCACAGAAAGGTTCCAGGATCCCCTTCACTTCTTCCTGCTGTGCATCCCTGGACAAGTTTTCCATCCTCTGAGCCTCTCCTTCCTCATCTGTAAAATGGGGATTACGAAAATCCTCTCCTCATAGGATGAGAGAAAGGAATGGACGAAGGCAGGACCCAGCCCACAGTTCCTGCTCAATAAACTGTAGCCATCCCAGCTGATTGTGGGAGGCAGAGGTAGCCACCAGCTAGCCCAACCAGGGGAGGCCTCAACATGGAAGCAGCTGCTCCAGCCTAGCTGGTTCAAGCTCTGGCCCACAAGGCACAGGACTTGCTAAAACCCTCTCACCCCGCGCCACCCCTCCCCTGCCGCCCGCCGATTAGGGTCAAGACTCCCAGTGAGCTGATTTCATGAGGCAAGAAGCAGAATCCCAGAGAGACAGGAAGACTGTTTCATCTGCTCCCTTGCCAAGGGCAACCTCGGCATCAAAACCCACCTGTCAGTTTCCTGCCGGAAAAATGGAGAAAGCTCCTCGGCCTGCAATGTCCCTCCCTCCATCTCTCCAATAGGCATACTCCTACTCACCCCCTTGAAGCCCAGTTCAAATGCCCCATCTCCTGCTTCGTGGATCTTATTCTATCTAGTAAGCACAGCTTGGCCTGTCTTTCTTCCTGGGCAGGTAGTCTAGGCAGAGGGCAGGTGGGAGTGCCCTCCTCTTACTCATCCCCAAGTTCTCCATATGTGTTCACTGAGAGACTCTAGCTTGGCTCCAGGTCCCACTGAAAGATTTGGGCAAGCCCTGCCCTTCCTTGGCCTGGGTACCTGCGTGGGGAGACTGGATTGAGTCCAGGAAAGCAGACAGATGCCAGCCTTGCCCAAAGCCAAGACACCCACTGAAAGCCTCCTCTTGCACCCTCAAAACCACCCGCCAATAGGCACTTTACAAGGCTGAAGGACTTGCCCATAGACAAACAGAACTGGAACTGGAACTGGAACCCTCTGGGCCTCAATGTCTTCCTCAATAAAATGGGGCTGTGCACCATCAGGCCCTGCCTACCTTACTGGAAAGCTCGGAGGACTGAATGAGATTAGGAGGGGGTAGATTCTTCCGAGTGATAGAGAGGGCGGGGGTCCCAGGGTGTGGGTCGGACCCAGCTTTGTGACTTTAGGAAAAGTACCCAAATTCCTTGGGCCTCAGTTTCCCTTTCTGTAAAAACAAGGGTGTTGGATGGGGGATTAAGATTAAAGGGCCTTCTCAACCTTGACCGTTACGGAGGGGTGGAGGGGTTCTCGGGATCGGGCGCTACGTTCGGGGCCTCCCATCTACCCGACCCGCCTCGGCCCCCTCCCCCTCCGGCCCAGGCCACGTGTCCGGGGTACTCACTGTAGAGAGCGCCCCCCGCCCCCGGAATGCCGGGTGGGGCCCCTGGCTGGGAGTCGGGACTCCAGCTTCCCCGCAAGGCCCGAGAGCCCCGAGCCCATTCTGCCTGCACTCGGGCGCGTGACCCCGGCCGAGCCGCCGCGCCACCCCCTCTTCCGCCGCCCGCCGCCCGCCGATTAGTCAGCAGTTGTTCTAGGCCCGGGTCCCTTCCCCCAGCCCTCCCGCCGGCCTCCGTCTCCCTCCAAGGCAGACTCTTCAGAGACGGTCCCTAGAGCCAGCGGACGAAACCATTCCGAAGAGCTTTAGCCTTGTACGGAGAATCTCTCCGGCTTGATACCAGTACCCGCTCACCGCCGCTCCGGACCCTTCTGTGCTATTTTGGCCCGCACGTCAAGTCCAGCGCCCTTTAAAGAGCATTAGGACAAGAGCTGCGGGAGGGAAGGACGAGAAATCTGTGGTTCTTCCCTCCCTCCCTCCCTCCCTCACCCCCGTGGCCCGGCCCGATGGTAGCGCCCGAGGTTGCGGGTTTCGCGCCTGCGCAGTGCGGCGCCAAGAGGGAAAGCGAGAGAGAGACGGACGTTGAGAGAACGAGAAGGAAGGAGAGAAAATGGCGTCCACGGGTGAGTGTGGTGGAATCGCGGTCGCGCCGGCGACTGCCGGGACGCCCAAATCTGGGGCCGCTCGTCTCTAGGGGTGGCCGGGACGACTGAATGGAGCTGCCGAGAAGGGTGTGAGGTACCCGCCGCGGCCCGACGAGCTCGAGGGCCCGCGTTCTTCTCCCCTCCCCCCACCGGGAAGGCCGGTTCTGGAACCTTCCGGCGCCCCCGGCGCGCGAGGTGCAAGCGGCGGCGGGAGCGCGCGGGGCCTGCCGCGGTCTCCATTGTGTGGCGGCCGTCGGGCCCCGCGCGCCCGGCCGCCCGCCACGTGGGCGGGGCCTGCGGCCTCCCGGGCCCCGCGTGGGGGTTGGGGGGAGGGCTCGGCAAGGCCTCGAGCCCGGCACCCCTAAGCCCGAGGTGTCGGGGGGGGGGGTCGATGGCTGCTCGAGAAGTCGCAGCAACGCCGCTCCTCTGATTCTCCCCACCCCCTTCCATTTCCAGGGAGGCGGCTCAAGCCGGAGGGCGACTTTGCTTCGCGGAGAAGCGGGGGGTGGGGGGCAGCAAATAAAAACGGTATCGCGGGTTTGTGAGCCGAGGGGTGCCGACCTATGAGCGGGCGCCCCGTAATGGCCTGGTCGGCTGGGGCGTCCGGTGCGGCCGAGCTGCCCTCTCGGCGGGTTCCAGCCCCAAACCGAACTTCTGCCCGACAGGGTTTTGGGCGGAATGTGCTTCCCCTTTCAGCGCCCCCCCCCATCGGCGCCGCCACCCCCGGGCTTCTTCGTTTTTACTCTTATTAATCCCACCTCCTTTCCTCCCCAAAAAGCAATTAAGTGCTTCCCGGGGCCGTTTTTCAGCAAACGCTGAGGGAAATCCGTTGTATAAAAAGGCCAACCCGGATTGCGAGGCTAGAAATCCCTACGGAAAGAAAATTCTGGCCTTTTTGATCTAGGAGAGACAAAAGGCCCGAGTCGGCATTTGAATTATGCTTAAGCGGTCGTCTCGCAAGTTTCTTCGTCTAGGTTAAGCCGGCAGGCTTGTTTATTTCGTGGAGGGAAAGGAGACGCGTGCTGGACTTTGAAAGAAAACCCGGGGCGGGAGCTCGAATGTGATAATCTAGAGTGGTCTTGTATACGGGAGTTGTTTAACCTTGTAACCTAAACATCACTCGCAGTTCGCAGCCTGTTCGTGCACTAACCTGCGGTTATTGGTAGGGTGGGGCATTTTTTGCCTCTGGTGGTGTTCTTAAGCCACCAAACACCGGGCCTTAGAAGCAGTGGGAGAAGTCGAGGGAAGGCCGGAAAAGCTCTGGGTCCTTCCGGGATTTAATTTGAAACGGGTCGAGAATCCAGCAACTTAAAGACAATTTAAGTCTTCCCGAGCTGTGGGATCAGTAAAACAGGCAGGTAGATGCCGGCGGTTAGTGCCAAGGTTCAGAGTGCCCCCTAGAAGTGAGGACTCTGAAATACCACAGTCCAAGACACATCCTAGTGGGAAGTGGTTTCCGCAGGGCCCTTTCCACCTTCGTCTTGCAGTGTTTGAATTTTGAGAGGGAGAATTTGGAAGAGAGAGTGCTACTCTCCCTTCCCTATTGAAGCGAGGGGAGTCAGAATGTGTATGGTGAAATTTTTGCGTAGCTGGACATGCCAATTTCTTGGTTTAATTTGCTCAAACTGTTTATTGGAAACCTCCATGTACTATATTAGAATTACAGTTGTGTTTTACGTAGACACACAGTAATAGGCCAGCTGGAGGATCTTTGGGAAATCACATACTTATCTGGACTTTGGTTTCCTTTCCTTCAAAATGAAGGAGTGAGGCTAAATCTTTTTAAAAGCTCTTTGAGCCCTTAACCTCTTGACATTATAGCAAAGCTTTTGGCTCCCACAGATTGCCCCATACTGACTTTAACTCCTTGTGTAGCTTGAAGCTCTAAATCTCTACTGTTGGAGAGTGAGTAAAGTATCTAAAAGCCACTACTTTAGATAACGTTAGATGTTTTTTCTCTTCGTGTATGTTTAGGAAAGTAGAGTATATGTCCAGTTTAACAAAGAATTAAACTCCTAAGTCACCACCAAGAAAAAGAGCATTGCCAGCACTTTAGAGGCCCCCTGGATTACAGCCCCTTCTTCCCAACCTGTCCTGTATTTTTAGTGAAGTCTTCAGCTGCGCATTTGGGGGTTAAAAACAAAGCATGACTGACAGCTAAAAAATCTAACCATTGTGTAACTAACATTTTTGAGTCCACTGTAATGTTTGTGAGTTGGAGGTAGATAACATAAGTTTTCAGGAAACAAATCTGCTACCTCCTTTAGCCCACCAGTATGGGACTAAATGGGTTGGTTTCACACGGATCTGAGATCAATCGTTGTTCTGTTATCAGCTTTGCCAGTTTTCTGCTTTACATAACTGTTCTTGTGTAAAAGTCCTCTTGGAAAGTTGAACTTCCATGTCAGCAATTTAGAATCATTTCTCACGAGACACCTCAGCAAAACGTAGGTTGAAATATTTTTTGATGCTTCATTTGTCTGTTTTGTAAGTGCCTCACGGAAGAGGTGATTTGCATTTACTTTCTATGTGGTACATAGAAAGCAAGAGTTGTGCTATTGAAAATGCCTTAAGGTTTAATCTTAAAATGCCATTAGATTGTCTTAAATCAATTTGTTCATTATATAAAACCTTTAGGCAGTTGATTGATAACGTTGATGAATCAGGGTTCTGACTTAAGGATGTACAGAGGAAGGAAAGTAGTTAAGGTAGAGAGGTAGAAAGGTGAGCCTACTTTAAAAGATGGATTCAGCACAATGCTCTCAGGCCAGGTAGACTGTGAGGCAGGCTTTGGATAGAATGGGGTAGAAACCCCTCCCTGAAGACCTGAGATGTCCATTGTTGCTTTCAAATGAGGGGCTGCTTTCTGATTGGAAAAGAAAGGACCCTTTTGTTCACTAATGGCAGTACTGTCTCCTAGCATAGAATAAGGTATGTATTTCTTGTGGAGAGCAAAGATTGGGTAGAATTTTTAAAAATATTTTTAGGGTGCCTGGGTGGCTCAGTTGGTTAAGCGACTGCCTTCGGCTCAGGTCATGATCCTGGAGTCCCGGGATCGAGTCCCGCATCGGGCTCCCTGCTCAGCGGGGAGTCTGCTTCTCCCTCTGACCCTTCCCCCTCTCATGCTCTCTATCTCTCATTCTTTCTCTCAAATAAATAAATAAAATCTTTAAAAAAATAATAAATAAATAAATAAAATAAAAATATTTTTAAACGGGCGCCTGGGTGGCTCAGACGGTTAAGCATGTGCCTTCGGCTCAGGTCATGATCCCAGGGTCCTGGGATCGAGCCCCAAGTGGGGCTTCCTGCTCAGCGGGAAACCTGCTTCTCCCTCTCCCACTCTCCCTGCTTGTGCTTACTCTGTTGCTGTCTCTCTTTCTGTCAAATAAATAAAATCTTTTAAAAAAAATAAAATCTTTTAAAAAATATTTTGAAAATACGTGTATGTTTAGTTCAGTAGTGCTGTGAAAACTTCTTCACCATTTTATTTTCTCTTTGTTTTCACTACTTGTATAGACACCTCAGTGGACTAGTCTTTAGTCCCTTTTTGTGCATGTTTTACATTTCAGATGAAAAGGGAAATTCTAGGAAAGATTAGAAAGAAGAGAGGGGAAGAAAAGTAAAGTTGTGGGCTTTTTTTTTTTTTCTTGAGTTGAAATCATTGTGAGTTTTAAAAAGATGTTGTTACTTAAAACCAAATTACTCCCCAAAAGATTACATGCTTTATTCTCTGCCAGTTATCATGATTCTGTCTTAACTCTGCTGCAATTTATGTTGTGTTTGGCTTTTGACTTATTGTAGAAATGTAGCCCTGATACAGTCAGGAAAACCTTTAAAATACTGGATTGGAATGACTTTCTTTTTTGCCATTCCATGTCACAGCCCTGCTATGGAATTATGGTTAGTTTTCAAAATGCTAAAGTGAGGGGGTGATAGAAAAACCAGTTTTTGGGGAGATGTAACCAGTCTGATGTTAAACATTGTAATATTGTGGCATGCCTCATTTTTATATGAAGGTAAAACTTCTGTTGGTTCATCTTGTTTTCTGTTAGTCTTAGGATGATGATCATGTATTTGAAATGACAGCCTGCAGTTAAGGGGCGGGGGAGGGAGTTGTGGTCATGGGAACCTTTAAAGTATCTGCCAAATCAGCTGATCTTGACCTCATTAGCTGGCACTATATTTCAAACTTTCTGAGCTTTAACTGGCTTAGACTCATTTTTTTGGTTTGATGTTAAGAGAGAGGAGATACTCAATTCGGACCTGTGTTGGCCTGTACTTCCTCTCTATAAACAGTTTAAAGAATTTATTTTCTTCCACCTGAATTCCTCCTCCGCTTTTTTTTTTCTTCTCCTTGTCTCTGCTGACTTCACATTATTTTCTCTCCTTGTTTTCTCTAGATTACAGTACCTACAGCCAAGCGGCAGCCCAGCAGGGGTAAGTCAGTCTTTTTATAACAGTACTTTCGGTGTGATTGATAATAATGTTTTTAGAATACTAAGCCTCCTGGAGTTGTAGAGGATTTTGTAATGGAATCTGAATGTTCTATATTCAGTTCTTGCATTTAATTTCTCTTACAGCTACAGTGCATACACTGCCCAACCCACTCAAGGATATGCACAGACCACCCAGGTAATCTTTAAGATATTTATATGTGGTTATATCCCCAAACAAAATATTTCTGTCAGCCATTAAAACAATAGCTAGTACAGCTCTTTTTTAAAAATCAGGTAATAGAAAAGTATGATGTGCTTGTAATCATAAAAATACTCAGGCGTTTTAAACTTTCACAGTGGGAGTGCCATTATAAATGACACCATCCCCAAACTGGGAGTTGCTAGCTCTCCACACCTTTCTAGTATCATTTCTCAAGTTAAGTGCCTTGCTCAGTAAATGGTCTTTCTACATATTATATTACGTTTAAATTTATTTAATTTTACAGTGCTTCTGCAGAAGAAGGTGTTATTAGGATATTTTGCAAACAAAAAATAGCAGCGCATAGATAAGTCATTTGCCAGTGGTCACATAGTAAATGGCAGGGTGAGTTGTGTATGGCTGCCTAACTACAGAGCTTCTGAGCCCTTTCCAGTACATGAGCTTGTGTTTAAAAGCCTAGGCCAACAGAGACGCCTGGGTGGCTCAGTCAGTTAAGCAGCTGCCTTCAGCCCGGGTCATGATCCCAGGGTCCTGGGATCAAGTCCCACATCGGGCTCCTTGCTCAGCAGGGAGCCTGCTTCTCCCCCTCTCTCCCTCTGCTTGTGCTCTCTGTGTCAAATAAAAAAAAAAAAAAATCTTAAAAAAAAATAAATATCTTAAAAAAATAGATAAAAGCCTAGGCCAGCAGATTCTGGAAATTGGGGTCCTAGTATTCTCAAGACCACTTCGCATTCTGAAATGGTCCATGCCTAAAATGGATACTAATAACTCTGCCATTGAAACTTTCTGGGACAGACAGAAGTGTGATGTCTCTGGCAGATCGTACATAATTGGTCATTCAAATCTAGAATGTGATCTTGCTAATAGGTGGAAGAATAGCTCATTCCTTACCAGGTTTTAAGTATTACTGATGTCCAGGGCGCCTGGGTGGCTCAGTCGTTAAGCGTCTGCCTTCGGCTCAGGTCATGATCCCAGCATCCTGGGATCGAGCCCCACATTGGGCTCCCTGCTCGGCGGGAGGCCTGCTTCTCCCTCTCCCACTCCCCCTGCTTGTGTTCCCTCTCTCACTGTGTCTCTCTCTGTCAAATAAATAAATAAAATCTTTAAAAAAAAAAATTACTGATGTCCAAGTTCAAAAGACAGTTCCTGATATGTTAACCTTAAGGAGACTTGCCGTGTTCTAGTTCGTTTTCTTTGAAGTGGTTTAAGTTTTTAAATTTTTATGTCAGGCTGAAAAATCTGGTTTTCAAACTAACAGGTTTTAATCCCATTTTCATTTTCTTTCTCTTGGTTCGTTTTGTCTTCCTAACATTTGTTTCCAGTTGCTAAAACGGTACTACACTAAGTGCTAGCAATTATACATCTGTTCCGTTATTGCCCATCCCTTGAGAGTGTCTTTATTAATCTCCTGTGTAGTTAACTGAGAGTTTGCCTCATTATCTCAGGAACTTTTTTGTAGTTAAGTTTATAAAAATATGAGTGGATTAGATAAGGGAAAGAAAGCATTCACAATACTGTGATCACTTGTCTGTATTTTACAATCTTTACTAGAAAGCAGTATTTTTGGTTTTGGTTCGTCCAATTTTTAGAGCCTTAGAAATAAGTCAGTCTGTTTTTTGGCTAAAATGTAAGGTTTGGTTTGTTTGGTTTTTTTTTAAAGACTTTATTTGAGAGAGAGAGAATGAGAGAGAGAGAGCACGAAAGGGAAGAGGGTCAGAGGGAGAAGCGGACTCCCCGCTGAGCAGGGAGCCCGATGCGGGACTCGATCCCGGGACTCCAGGATCATAACCTGAGCCGAAGGCAGTCGCTTAACCAACTGAGCCACCCAGACGCCCTAAAATATAAGGTTTATATGTGAACTTCTTGCATCTGTTTTCTTTGAGCAGGCATATGGGCAGCAAAGTTATGGAACCTATGGACAGCCCACTGATGTCAGCTATACCCAGGCTCAGACCACTGCGACCTATGGGCAGACCGCCTATGCAACTTCTTATGGACAGCCTCCCGCTGGTAAGGCCTGCCTTGGAGAGACTTTTGGGTCATAGCCACTGGGGTGTTTGCTAAGGATCTTGTTACTTATGCTCTCAGGTGTATATTCTGTTCCATACCTTGGCATCTGAGGATCCTTTATTCTTAGGAGGAGCTATTTTTTCTTTTTCTTTTTCTTTTTTTTTTCTTTTCCCTTATATTCTCCTAAAGGATTTCTGATAGAATGTGGGTGGGATAATTCCTTTTTAACTATTTCATTCAGTGTATCGAATAATCTTATAACAAAATGGAGCATATATAAAAGATTGTGCTAATGGTAATACTGGGTAAGAGTGAGCCTTCTTAAAGTGAGCTGCTTAAAATCAAACTGATTTTCACATCTGTTTGCTTCATCTGATAGTGTACCCTCTACTTTTTGTTTTGTGCTTTCCACAGTAGAAGGGACCAGTACAGGTTTGACTATCCTGCTCATTCTTGCATGGGAAATGCTTTCCATCTTGTCTAACCTTGTAATGTTGACCCTTTAGGTGTTTTCATCTGTTTAACCCTCAAACTTTCTAACATCACACACAACAAGGTGCTAATGGGAAATTGCTTCAGGTGCCATTCACAGATCCATGTCCTTTTCTTTATGTGATTTTGGGAAAGGTTTTGCTTTATTTTACATTATTTTGTGTCAAGCCTTAATAGTTGTTCACCTTCCCAAAGGTATTTCAGATGACTATTCCCCAGCTGATTCCCCCCTATTCCCTGAAGGACAGATTGCATGAGTAGATTTATTTAGAGGAACAGACTGCCACCCTGCATGTAATGTTTGTCTCTTGGTTGGTTTCCAGTCCAGATACGTTTTATTTTTTGTTTTAAATGTTAATGAATTATTTTAATTCGTAGTATGTCTTAAACAGCAGCATTCCAGGGAGCTAAAAAAATAAACTACTCTGAGAATTGGAATAAATTGTATCCTAATGCTAGGATTGAGTGGAGTATGTGAAAAATTTACAAGGATTTTTATATTTATTGCTGCTATGTAACATTTTAGAATCCATACCTTCTCCCCACCCACCCATTCCTGTTTTTATTATCATAAGAGAATATTCAATACAAAAGTCTTAAAAATGTAAAAACTCTTTACTGTCCAACTATTTTCAGTTCCCTAAGTTATATGTAGTTTTCTCTCAGAGTCTTTAGAAGGGGAGAAACCTGCATCTGTAATTTATCTCCTTGAGTGACAGTGTCCTGGATTTGATGGGCAGTGTTTCCTAATCTGTGTAACTAATGCATATTTCAAATCGGATGGGAAATGTTTACACTTTTACTGGTGTTAGCTGCAACTGTAGGAAAAGCTGGAGCTAGAACTGTACAGTTTGGATTTTTAGCACAAAATTTTGAAATTGTGAGATTGAACTTTACATAGTCAAGCTATTTTCATTTTTATTAATGATTGACATATTAGTTTTAGGTATACAACCTAATGATTCCATATTTGTATATGTAGTGAAATGATTGCCACAAAAAGTCTAACTCATATCCATCGGCACACACGGTTAACAAATTTTTTTCTTGCGGGGCACCTGGGTGGCTCAGTCGGTTAAGCAGCTGCCTTCGGCTCAGGTCATGATCCCAGGGTCCTGGGATCGAGCCCTGCATCAGGCTCCTTGCTCAGCAGTGAGCCTGCTTCTCCCTCTGCCCCTGCTGCTCTGCCTACTTGTGCGCTCTCTCTCTCTCTCTCTCTCGGTGTCAAATAAATAAAATCTTAAAAAAAATTTTTTTCTTGGAATGAGAACATTCAAGATCTATTCTCTTATCAACTTTAGACAATACTGGGCGCCTGGGTGGCTCAGTTGGTTAAGCAACTGCCTTCGGCTCAGGTCATGATCCCGGAGTCCTGGGATCAAGTCCCACATCAGGCTCCCGGCTCAGCGGGGAGCCTGCTTCTCCCTCTGACCCTTTCCCCTCTCATGTTGTTTCTATCTCTCTCTCTCTCAAATAAATAAATAAAATCTTTAAAAAAAAAAAATAGACAATACTATTAACTATAGGCAACCATGCTGTAGGTTACATCCCTGGAAGAACTTACTTTTATAATTTAGTTAATAAATATTTATAACCAGAAGTTTGTAGCTTTTGACCACCTTCCCTCATTTTTAAGATTTTATTTATTTATTTGACAGAGAACATGCACGAGCAGGGGGAGTGGCAGACGGAGGTAGAGGGAAAAGCAGGCTCCCTGCAGAGCAGGAAACTGATGTGGAGCTGGATCCCAGAACCCTGGGATCATGACCTGAGCCGAAGGCAGACATTTAATTGACTGAGTCACCCAGGCGTCCCAACCTTCCCTCATTTTTAAAATAAGTATTAAAGATTTTAAAAATAAGTATTAAATAAAGATTAAGCCTTTGGCATCTCTAGACCATTTTATAGGGATATGATAAAGTCATTTGTAGGAAACACGGGTCTTCTAGGTTCTCTAGAGTCCTGTGTTCTCATTGTCATTAATTGAACAAGTCCCACTGTGAAGACAAAAACATAGGACATTCTGATACAGAAACCAGTGGCTTTGATGAGCAAGAAACTTCACTTAATAAGGACTGTTTTATGGATTTTATAGTTTATGGAGAACCATACATACCTCCGTTAATGCTCCCATCAACCTTTGGAGTGTAGAGACTGGAATTAAACCTGATGGGCAAACTGAGGCTGAACCAAACTAAGTTAGGACCCTTACAGGTAGTAAGTGGCTTCAAGCACCCTTTTTTCCTTACTCCATGCTGTCTTTACACTTAAGCCATTGGATAATTACTGAAAGGAATGTAGAAAAAAACCCTTTTCTCTCAATAGAATTTTTTTTAATTAAACTTTAAGAGAAAGTGTCCATATAAATCTCATTTCATTAATTAGAATAGAAACTTTAGTTTTTACTGTTCAAGTTGAACAAAAATTTCGGTTGATTTGTGTAATGTTTATTATCTTTTTCCTTGAAGTCATTAACACAGAGTAGATGTGTTGTCTTTTGCCGGTGATCTTTTTTATTGTCATTAAATCATTTTTCTCTGTTAATTTTTCCTCATTTGCTTGGCTGTTTGTGTGGGTACTTGAGATTAATTAAAAGATTATTAATTAACCCAGTGCCTATTACCGTAATCTTTAGCACTCCAAGCCTCTAACAGTTACTGCGTAGTTTTATAATGTTCAGTTATTGCTCTGATCAGTCTTTGTTGTTGCTTTGCTTTTAATTGCCCTTGTGACTCTTATAGATGGCCTTGTCATCATGTAGGGGAAAAAAATCTGTGTAGGAGTAATAGGGTAGGTGGAATTAGATTCCAGTTAAATTTAAATAAATGAGTGCGTTATGTGGATGACATTAGGACTCTGCAGGGAACTTTTAAATTAAGTAAACAGATGAGTGACATGCCAACTCAAAAAACTTCCATTGCTTGGGGCTGTTTTGTGCATTATACTTTCATACACATTTCAACCTAGTAGTTTTGAGAAGGAAATTACTGTCTTTGTGTATAATTAATTTCAGAATTTCCCTAAAATGTTCGGAATGGAGAAAAAAAAGTATTAAACTCTGTGCTATAGGAGGTGACACTTCAGATTGTACAAAGAGAAGTTGGTATTTGTTGTTGGCTAGTAAGTTGTATGTATAGTGAGGACACTTTATTCTAACTGAAGTTTAAGGCCCTAAATTTTAACTAAAATGAGAGATCTTAATTCAAGATTTGTCTTAAGTACTCAAACTCTTTTACTTTAGTGAGATGTAGACTATTTTTTGATGGATATGAATGCTGATAACTAGACCCAGGTTTTTATTGCATGGCTGGCTTGTGTTCACTGACCATGAGAAGGGGTCAGAGAGAAGAGCCCAGCACCAGGAAAGGTTATAACACATCTCACAGAATAAGGACTCAAGTTAGCAGCTGCAGTTTGGGAGGGGCCTTTTGTCACACTGCAAGCCCCAAGTTCCAGATGAAAGGGTTTGCATTCCTGCCTGCTCTGGTAGAGGCAGGAACTAGGGAGAGAACCTACCTTGGTTTGCCTCATACCTCTGAACGCAGCAGGTCTTTGTGATACCTAGTTAGGGGACTAGCACGGGGCTAGCTCTAGGGTCTACTTTCAATATTTCCAAACCGGAAAAAGACCTTTTTGCTTGTGGTAGGTAAATAAGAAAGGAATGGAGGGTGGGTAATTTGATGACAAGCGTAGACTCTTAGTTGGTTTCATCATGTGAAAAACATTCACCTTATAAAGGTTTATTTGGGGAGTATTAAGTTTAATTAAAATCATTTACCTGAAAGGTCAAATAAGATAACCTTTGTTGGTTATATTTAAGCAAATGTAATTTGTAGTATCTTATTACTCAAATTCCATTTCAAAATTTAGTGCTAGTAGCAAGCATCTTTTTAGTTGTTACCTGAAACAAAAGTAGCAGTACTTGGACATCTCTCACTGAAAATTAAACACATGTTCTCTGGGATTTCGGTTTCCTTTAATTAATGAACTGAACTGCCCATGTTGGAATGCTCGGGACTGAAAGGAAAGTAATTTTAATGCTAAAAATATTACCTGGATCATTATTTTTAGCAATGTGTCATTGCCTTTTCCCTTTCTGGGATGTTTTATTCCTGCTTGAGAGTTTTTTGGGATACTTAACTAGTTGAGGAAATTGTTAAGAAGGCCTGCTTGCAAGACCAGTATAAGATCCCCAAAAGCAGACTTTTCTCCTATTGAATCCAGAGGGGAAAGGTGCAGCAGGAACCTGTTTTCTGTACCAACACTTCTGTAGCATACCCTGTTTCCTCCTGTTAGGTGTGATTTTAGAGCTAAAGAGAGTGCCATGCTGAAAACTGGGTACTTTTCAGACAGTGTAGGCTTTAAATATTGTTTTGTTGCTACTCATACTGGGCGGGAGGGAATCTATTTAAAGGGGCTAAATATTGTGATGCTTTAAAGTAGGTGGTTTACAAATTGTTTTGTTAACAAGTGTCTAGGCAGCTCTCTGAGGAGCCAGAAATCTGACATATTTCTCCTTTGTTCTAGGTTATACTACTCCAACTGCCCCCCAGGCATACAGTCAGCCTGTCCAGGGGTACGGCACTGGTGCTTACGATACCACCACTGCTACGGTCACTACCACCCAGGCCTCCTATGCAGCTCAGTCTGCTTATGGCACTCAGCCTGCTTACCCAGCCTATGGGCAGCAGCCGGCAGCCACCGCACCTGCAAGGTAAGCGCACACTCCCCTAGTTCTTACACTAGAGCACATCAGCCTGTTGCGGGAAAGAGAGCAATTACGCGCACTTAGAGAATCCAGGACTTCATTCCTTTTTAATGGTTACTCTTAACATAATTACTTTTAGAGGTTGACTCTGTGCTTATAGTCATCACAGTAATGCTGTAGAATACACCACAGATACATTGTTCTCCATTTAGTAGAGAAATGGTGCCATCCAGGGGCCAAGATGAGGAAAGTCACTGGCCAGATGTCTGGTTTCTAGACATCTAGTTTCAAAAGGGTGACCTTTTAGGGTAGGAGGAGACTATTATATTTACTTTACCAAACCCAGAAGAAAACAATGAAATGTGTGTTTTCCTTCACAACAGAACAACTGATAGAATTGTACTTTTGGTTTTATTGACCTTGTAAATGGATAACAGCTTTCTCTTTGGGAAAAACGTGGCAGTTCACAATACAGAGGAGGTGGGAAGTCATATACTGGTGTCTCAGTTGAAGAAATTGACATTTTTTGTGTATTATGTAGTGGCTTGGTTATCTAAATATCCCAGGCAAGTATATATTCTTAACTGGGTACCCTGCTTTGGGGTGAATATTTTGGCAAACAGTTTCATACTCCATGATTAATTAGCAGGTTAAACAGTACTGATTATTACTTAACAGAAGATTTCAGGTCTTTGCTTTAAGCAATGGACATAGGTGGCTTCTGCATACAATCTTGAAGGAACATTGAATTCTGATTTGAAAGAAGACTTTTTAGGGAATAAACAAGAGATCAACTTGTAACCTAGACTTTTTGCCTACTCTAGAGGTAAGAACTTAGCTCTGGCAAACACTCATGAAATTACTTCCAAAGTGCACAGTGAGTAATCAGAGCTACTTGGTAGTTTACATCTACTAGACATCCTGTGCAGTAGGTAGATTAAACTAACTGACTGATTCCTGTAGGGCTCCGTTTCAGGTGACCTAGGCATTTCAGAATGTTATCAACTATTTGAAGTCCCGTTTGATGAGCCATTGCAACAGTATATCAGCCATAGCTGGTGTGGGGGGTTATATATTAATTGGTTTTTTATGATTTTTTGTTGTTCCTTTTCTTTCCCTGATTTTCAGTCCTTACCACTTTAAAACTGTCTCATGATCAGTGTCAGCTACTCCCTTTTCCACTGGAAAGAGGGGGCTTGTGACCCATTTCAGCTCTGGAGAAACCAGTACTTCCACATCCTATCTGGTTTGCCTGCTGATTCTTGGCAGTTTGCTTAAAATAGCTCAAGCTCACTTTATTAGTCTTGTTGCAAACTGTTAGGGCTAAGAGGTAATAGAAAACCCTGGGGGATTGGTTTTCATTATTTAATATTTCCCAGTTCATCCAAGCATTCCTGGGAACTGGGGTTGGGAGGGGGTGGTTCCCTCCCCTACTCTGGTATTTCCATTATGGAAACTTTCAGGCAAGGTTAGATTTATTTATGGCAGTCCAAGTTAGGAAATGTATTTTCAGGTCTGTTCTTAATAAATGAGAAACTTAAACTCACAGTAATCCAAATTTATAAATGCCATGAACTTATATAAATGTTACTCTAACGTGACACTTTTGCATTATTGTTAAAGTTTCTTGTCTGTCTTCCAACAGTCCTTTTGGGGGGGAAGCATTTTCTTCCCTAACAAACCACCTCCCCTCCCAGATCACTTAAATTGGCAATAGAAAATATTGTAACTGCCTTTGATAGCTGCTAATGTGGAACGAGTGGAACATGTTGGTATCTCATCTGTGGATTTGATTAATTCTCCCCCTTTCTTAGAAGTGTTCTCTTCCAGCACATACAGTTGGACCGAGACTGGGTTTGATATAATTCAGTTGACAATTGTATTTACTTCCAAGCTCAGTCCTAACATTGCACATTGCTTAGAGGTTGTAGAGCTCTTACCCAGGAGTTTTATGGTTGAGGGAAAAAGTCTTACTTTTTTATTTCTCCTTTTAGACCGCAGGATGGTAACAAACCCGCTGAGACTAGTCAACCTCAATCTAGCACAGGGGGTTACAACCAGCCCAGCCTAGGATATGGACAGAGTAACTACAGTTATCCCCAGGTACCTGGGAGCTACCCCATGCAGCCAGTCACAGCACCACCATCTTATCCTCCTACCAGGTCAGTATCTTTGTTCTCATGGCCAGTGAGCTAGTAGAATAACAGTTTTTTTTCAGGCTGTTGACCAGCTTGCTTCTTCCTCAGGTGAGATGGGTCATCTGACTTTCCCAGTGATGAGCCTGACCACACATTAAAACTTCAGTCTTAGGTTCCTATAGCAGTACCTGGCAGTCAGTAACTCTTTTCTCTAAACACATTTTTACCATTCTAGGTTCTTCCTTTTAATTTTGCTCTTTTAAGTTAATTCAGATGGATGAGAAACAGAAGTATATGAAAGCAGGTAAACCCAACCATAGAAGCCACCTCCTCCAATGCAGTTAGGATGGGTAAAGTGGAAGACATGAAAAAGAAAAGAAAGAAAGAAACTTCATTTTAGTCATTTCATAACTTGGAGGTCCATTCATACACAACTCTTTCAAGATTTTATTTATTTGACAGCACAAGCAGGGGGAGAGGGAGAGACAGGCTCCCTGCAATGCAGGGCTCGATCCTAGGACCCTGGGATCGTGATCTCAGCCAAAGGCAGATGCTTAGCCAACTGAGCCACCCAGGTGCCTCCATGCACAGGTCTTTTAATGATTGGGCCAGGGCCTTTCGTCCTCAGATTTATTCTGCACTCTGTCTTACATGTTAACCACCCCAGCAGCTACAGTGTCTCATTTGGGTTTCTTGTAAAGTGGAGGAAGGACCTGCAAGTTTTCTCATTCATATTTAATTAGAAGCAAGTTTTCAGATGAACTGTCTGAATTGTGTTCTAAAGTGTTGACTTAGTTTTGCTAGAGGTAGCACTTCCCTTTTTTGCACTCAGTTTCATTGGTTTTCACATGAAAGTGCAGCAGGTGTGAACAGGTTTGGGAACAAAATACAGCTGACCGGGTAAGTGTACAGCGTGGAGCAGCAGTGGGCAGGGCTTACAGCAGTTCTTCCACAGAGCCCACCTGTGCCTGTGCTGCTGAGGGTAATAAATCTGGCCAGTGGAATAGGTACACTCCGTGAAGAGAGGCTATTGAGTCTGTACAGCCACGTTCGGGGATATGATAGAGGCTTAGTTTAGTTGTACTTTTAAATATGATGTCTTTTTTTATTTTCATTACCATAGTTCATTTAAAGTTTAATAGCAGTTCTTTTAAGCTTTATTTCTATGTAAGAAAGGTATCTGGTTAGTTTCCCTGCCTGAGGTTGACATGTCAAAAGATGAAGATCCACTTAATACTCTTGTACAGTGCCATGATTCTGAAGTTTCCTTATCCATTTTTTCTTCATTAAGATTTCGTAGATGATCAGGCATGTTTGAAAGTTATAGATGATCAAGCGTGTCTGAAAGTTTGAAACTGTATACAATATATAGCGGAACAATTTAAAACTTGGACAGATGTCAAGAGAAAATTGCCACGTTTGTGTGGCCACACACACACTAGGCTGCCTTGTACCTTCAGAACAGTCACTGTCATGATTGAAGGGAATTGTTGGAGGCAGGCTTAGAACTGCCATGCTTAACTGCCTCCTTTTCCTCCGTGGCTTTTCCACTGAGTGCACATGCACATATTCTTCCCTTAATGCAGGAACACCAAACTCCAAATTTGCCTTGAATTTAATTGAAAACTATGGTTTTAAGGAGGTGGGAGGTAAAAGAGAAAACTCTAAGGTTTGTATAATGTATAGATTGGTTTTCAATAGTTTTCCCCTCCTTTGCATTGAAAGCTTTATTCTGAATACAAAAGTATTTGCTTATTTTGAATTCAAACTGTTGATATGTAGAAAGTAAGTGTTTTTAAGGATTTCTATGTCATATGCTATGAATGTATCTTATATTTAGGGGGCTTGAAGAAATAACAAGCCTCTCCTTCCTAAAAAGCTTTTTTTCTTTCTTTCAGCTACTCCTCTACACAGCCGACTAGTTATGATCAGAGCAGTTACTCTCAGCAGAACACCTATGGGCAGCCGAGCAGCTATGGACAGCAGAGTAGCTATGGTCAACAAAGCAGCTATGGGCAGCAGCCACCCACTAGTTATCCCCCCCAAACTGGATCCTACAGCCAGGCTCCAAGTCAATATAGCCAACAGAGCAGCAGCTACGGGCAGCAGAGTGAGTTGCTAAGAGAGAAAACCAAATAAGAATGATTATGTTTGGAGTTTCTGAACATGGGGAAATGGTCTTTACCGTTGTTTAGTTTTGGACTCTAGGACATCTTTAGGACATAACATCCTGGCTAACCACTTGGATGTCCCACTAAAGACATGAGTGCTTTTCTCCAATTTAATTGTTAGTATGCCTTGCCAAAAAAAGAAAAAAGAGAGTTTGTAACTGACCAGAGAAAACATTTTAAGACGCCAGCCTTGCTCTCTTTAAGGAGGTTATATACAGTGAGTGAAGCTGGCATTCCTGTGGCCTGCCCACCCCAACTCATTAAAAGGATGTGAGCAGATAGCTTTTGAAGACTACTGCAGTTTTGATAGTCAAGTAAATGCTATATTTTGGTTTTGGTTTTTTTTTTTTTACATCTATAAAGTGAAAAAAAAAAGTCCTCATAGAACCCTTAGTTTCACATGGAGAAGTAACCAAAAACTCAAAACTGTACTCACAGTTTAATTTTTACCTGGATAGTTGTTTTTTAATGAAACTCCATCCATGGGTATGTTTCATTATGGCTATGAGATGAGTAGTGCTTCTTGATGGAGCCTAAGCTTCAGCAACATACTAAAGCCCTAAGAAACCTGCCCCTGGTTTTTGTTTTTGTTTTTTTTAGATTGTATTTATTTGACAGAGAGAGATATAGAGAGAGGGGGATCACAAGCAGGGGGAGTGGGAGAGGGAGAAGCAGGCCTCCCGCTGAGCAGGGAGCCCGATGCGGGGCTCGATCCCAGGACCCTGGGATCATGACCTGAGCCGAAGGCAGACTCTTAATGACTGAGCCACCCAGGCGCCCCATGGTTTTTGTTTCTTGAGAGTAGTTTAAAGAAGCAGCTTTTGGAGGCATCCTAGGATACAAAATCCTGTAAACTGTTAACCCAAGGGCTTTTTTCTTATTTGGGTGGTTTATTCTAGGCTAACTGTAAGATTACTTCAGCTTTGATGAACCAGCAGTTTTGGTTAAACTTAAAAGATCCTACCTTTAGAGGTGCTTTGTCAGGTTTAAAGAAGATGGTGCCTTGGTTAGTGCCTTGCAATTGAGCATTCTGTGATTCCAGGAGAAAGTACGACAGGCAATGGTTCAAATGCTGGTCCATGGCTTACAGATGTGACTCTTTCCTCAGGTTCATTCCGACAGGACCACCCCAGTAGCATGGGTGTTTATGGGCAGGAGTCTGGAGGATTTTCCGGACCAGGAGAGAACCGGAGCATGAGTGGCCCTGATAACCGGGGCAGGGGAAGAGGGGGATTTGATCGTGGAGGCATGAGCAGAGGTGGGCGGGGAGGAGGACGCGGTGGAATGGGGTAAGAGCAAACCTTTTCTCCTTTTACCTAATTTTGTTTCATCCATAGGATTTTCAATGGAAAGAAGGGACTGAAAGACATAAGAAATTTATTTCTACATTTCCATGGACAATCTGTTGAGCCCAGGCCATCTTCTAAAACATGGAAATGTCATCTTTGTGGCATAGATTAAGTGGCAGTTCGCTTTTTTCCCTGCCAATCTACTTGGTTGGGTTGGGGAGAACAAAGAATGGTTTTGAAACTAGAGCTTTCAGTTCCCTTCATGGTTTCCAGAGGTCAAAGCCTCTGTGGGTAATAGACTCGGGATGGAACACACACAACCCTTCTAACACCCCTAGGTTTTTAACTAATTGCCTCTGAATGGTTGTCTTGAAATACCTGGTGTATATATACTGCAGAAAAGGAATGCAGCTGTTTTCCACAATGTTTGTCCCCAACTTCTGTTTGTACTTGGAATTGTTGAACGTTAATGATGAAGATCTTGGTCCCGTAACCCCTGAACTATGGCCTGAGGTGCACCTGGTACACAGAAAAGTCTAATAGGTTTTTGCAAAGTAATGTAAATAATTACGGGATCACTCCCCATTGGAGATTTTGAGAAGTCTAAATCGGTTTGACCATTTTGATTGATGGCACAATCTGGTTTAGAAAACTTTGTTTAGATCAATAGCATAACCCTGCTACCTGTGCCTGCCCCTCCCCTCCCTTCTCCCACCCCTTTTTCCCTTTCTCTGGTGTCTGTACTTTGATGAAGGTGAGGTATAATGTTGGTGGTTAACATAATCCAGAAGGTTTAGTTCTGTGTGTGTTCTGTCCCTATATAAACTAGTAAAAAAAAAAAAAAAAAAAAAAAGTTATGCAGAATGTTATACATACTATGTATAAATTGGATTTGGTGCCACTGTTGGTTCAAGGAAAAATTGGGTAGGGTTTCTTTTTTTTTATAGAAATCGACTTCAAAATTAGATAAAAATTTTATCTTTAATTTTTGTGTTCTCAAATTTGTATCCTATTGAAAGATAACTGATTGAAAATACAGTTCTGCATAACTTAAAAGTCTTTGGTGAAATCTTTATTGGAAGAAACAGTTACTTGACCACACAGAAAAATTGATGAACAATTTGATATTAAGTAAAATCGGTCTGATTTGGAGAATGTCATTCCATTATAAAGGTTTCACTTCTTTATGGATGTTTTAAAATAGACGTAGACACTTGAAATTACTATCATCACGTCTCCTCCAATCACCTAGAATTCTTAGTATTTTCCAATTGCAAAACCAATTTCAAGTTCATTCATTTTAATACTCCAGAAATGATAATTCTACTAATTTTGCTAGACTTTGCTAGTAGAGGGATCCCCTCTTTCTGGAGAAGTCTCCTGGAGCCATAGAAAAAAAAAGTCATGGCTTTCCCACAGGTTTTTCAACTGACTGTGAGGCAGTCGGTTGGATCCCTTGGGGACAGGACAGGGGCATTCTCCCCTCCCCTCTTTTTCACTCTGGTGTGGTGATGGTTTTCAGTGTCTTCTGCAGGTAAGGCACTCAATGTTGTTAACATGCCCTTTTTCATTGCCTCAGTATTTTGATATTTTCATTGGCTGTTAAACGTGGAAACTTTTTAACATGCTTTGTCGCATTTATATGCTACAGGTTACAAAGTGAGAGCCTTGTATACACTTCAATACTTAAAAAGTACCCGTACTCAGTACTCAGCCGGCAGCATAATGAAAAGTGGGACTAGACACGGTGTCCATATGGAGAGGAAAAATATACATAGAATATTTTTAACAAAATGTATTCATTGTATAAATGGAATCCTTCTGTAACTTTGGTAACTGCATACTTGTTATTTGGTAATGAACCAGAGGAGGTATAATACTCTAGAATTGTATAACATTAAAGTGTAAACTTTTGTGTTTAAAGAGAGAGAACATTTTATGGTGTGTACTTTTAAAAAGGAAACAAAGCTGCATGCAACAGCTTGAAATTGTATATTCAGGTATTAAAGGTGCAATACTGGTTAGAAAAAGCTCAGGGCCTCCCACTGAGGAGCTGCCTTTATTTAATTTTAAAGGAAAAATAAAAAAGGCCCTTCATGTTCCCTCCCCCTGTTTTTACAGTATGTAAAGCAGTCATTTTATACTGCTGTCATCACTGTTCTCAACTGATGTGTCTATAAAGTTGCACCCCCAGTCCGTTGAGCCTTGATATTTGTTGTAAATTCTCCTTTCACAGCGATTGTTAAATCCATTAGTGCCCTGAATTGTATGGCTTTATGCTGAAGATTGGCTGGATGCGTCCTCTGATGTGTGTTGTAGGCGTTTAATGTGGTTGTCTCCTGCTTTATTATACTGTGACTTGTTAGGAAGCCTCACTTGGCTCTCCCCTAGGAGAGGTTGAGGGTGCACCTTTATGAACATGGAAAGCAGTTGCCCCAGCTTGCTACTCCTCTCTACAACAAGCTGTCCCTGTTTTTCAGCTGATGGGGTGGGTGTTTGGGATCGATTTTTCCCCCCGCCTAATTTGCCAAGTATTGCACTATTAATACCAGCCCCCGAAATGAAAGGAACCAACCACACTGGTGTGTACAATCAGACAAGCAAGGTTGTATATAAAGGAAATTTGAGCAAGCTGCCCTGAAGAAAGGCATAGTGACGAGATGAGAGAGATGCATTGTTTGGAGATGTGTTTAGCCAGTGCCCTTCTTCCCCACGAGCCCCCCCAAGGCTCAGAGCGGTACTGGCTTTTAAAGGGAAAGGCCTTCATTTCTTCGTTTATCCCCCCAGCAGCGCTGGAGAGCGAGGTGGCTTCAATAAGCCTGGTGGTAAGTTTTTGAGTATTACCATGGATAGTGTTTAAAAAAAAATACAGTCAGTTTTTAGAAAACTATAATTTTTTATTAGTTTCATAAGCGGTTTAAAAATGATCTATACAAAGAGACTAATGGGTACTGCCGGCATTGTCTTAGGGGTAATAAGGTTAACCTATGGTTACAAAACAAAGGGTAACTTGAAGTATTGAGCAACTGCTTCTGTAATATGGGGGAGAATACATTTTTTAAATTCGGTTTGTTTGGAGGAAAAATTTTGACTTAAATTTAACACTAATTTGGCACATAAGCATTGAGAGTGTATTTGGTTAATGGTTTAAAAGCAAACCAGCAAAGAAAAAAAAGCAAAACCCTAGCAAATCTTTCACAAATGTTAAAGGGGCACTGCTCCATTTTAGCAGTGCGGGTCATTTTGAATTTAATGAAGCCCCATCAAATGGTGGTATAGTAGATAGCTATGTGTGTTTGTAAGGTTTATAGCTTGCAAGACGTGCACTAATAGTATTTTATGTGATCTTTCCTGGTTGGCAGGACCCATGGACGAAGGACCAGATCTTGATCTAGGTAATTTTGAATTCTTGAATTTTGTATCATGCTTTGTAAATGAACAGCACAGCACCGAAGTAAGTGCATGCTAGAGCTCAGCAGCCTGGTAGATCAGTGTGATATTCTTGCTTTTAGAAGCAGTTTGGGGCTCCCTTTATCGTGAGCAGCTACTCATAATAGCCTTAGACAAAGGAGACCACAAGTTCTATGGCATTCTTGTTAGTGTGGCTGGTAGTTCTCTCGGCTTTGTAGTAATTATCAGTGAGCAGTAGTGACTAGTGGGTTAATCAGCCCCTGTAGATACAGGATAATAACTCCCTTCTTTCTTTTCTCTGTAAGGCCCACCTGTAGATCCAGATGAAGACTCTGACAACAGTGCAATTTATGTGCAAGGCTTAAATGACAATGTGACTCTAGATGATCTGGCAGACTTCTTTAAGCAGTGTGGAGTTGTTAAGGTAAGTAAAAACATAACCATGTGAGTTGGCAGATCTTCCAAATCAGCAGGCATTTTAAAGAGATGATGTTGAGAGTTTCTGAAGATCTGACTGCTTCTGAAGTTGCCTGACCTTTTTTTCTGGGCATATTGTGGTTTGTTCCTTAAAATACCAAAACAACAAAAAGAAAACCTCGTATTTTTTTGTAGAAAAATGCTAAATACGGTTGGGCATACTTAACAATTCCGTCCTTTATAATTGTCAGCTAATTATAAGAATACAGGGACACTTTTTTGTGAAATACAGATCACAACATAGTTTTTTAAATAGTGAACATTAACATTTCTTTCTTTCCCAATTTTATCCCTTCTCCGCACGCCCATCCCGAATTGTACTGTTTCTTTTCATGGATGGATCCTCAGTAATGGTTTGTTTCCTATAATTTTGGAGAATGTTTATTAAACACTACTATAAGGCAGCGCTATTCTAGGGATATACTAGAAACGAACAGATAGGAACCCTTGGAGTTAAACATGGTTCTTCGTTAGGTGGGGATAACTAAGAGAAACGAGAGTTTTGAGAAGGGGGGGATCCGGGGTCCTCAGGTCAGAAACTCAAAAAGGTTGGGAATCCTATATTTCATTTATAAATATGTCACAAGTTATTCATATATTCTCTACAGACAATTGTGTTATCTCTAAGTTTGTGAACATTCTTATACACGTCTCCTGGGGCACAATGCTGTAGTATCTCTAGTGTGTGTAGAGTTGGTTCTTGTTATTTGCAATAGTTCTGTAAAGTCACTACAAAGACTGAATTAGTGGATTCTGAACCACTACTTCTCGGGCAAGTGTGTGAACGGATACATACACACATCTTGCATACGTTATAATCCTAATTTTTAAAAACAACTCCCTCTGGTAGATCTGTTTTCTCTGACAAAGAGAAAATGAGATTCTGAAGTGTTTGGTGATTTGCATGAGTGGCATACAGATTCATCCAGCTGGCCCCAGGGACAGAACTTCTTGCACTACACAGTCTTCATCCCCTGGTCATCTCTAAAGAGAGCTGGACTGAGGTGGGAGGGGGCAGTGTGTCTCATTTGAGCTCGACTGGAACACGTGCGTCAGACAACTTAAATTTTTGCCACTCTGTACATGTTCGTGAGTAATCACAAAAGTACCACAAGTATTGATTTTGGAGTTATAAATTTTAGTGAGTAGTGCGGGGCTCGATCCCAGGACCCTGGGATCATGGTCTGAGCCGAAGGCAGACACTTAACGACTGAGCCACCCAGCCTCCCCACTTTTTTTTTTTTTTAACTTAAATTCAGTTAGCCAACATATAGTACATCATTAGTTTTAGATGTAGCATTCAGTAATTTATAAGTTGTGTATAACACCCAGTGTTCATCATATCACCTCTCCTCCTTAATGCCCATCAGTCACCCTATTAATAATGTTCTAATTGCATGCTGTCTTCTATGAAATGCCTGTGAGGTCTTGTACTCAATCTTCATTGGGTTATCATTTGTTTTACATATAGTTCTTTAAAGAATTTATTTTTTATTTTATTTTATTTTACTTTATTTTTGAGAGCAAGCAGGGAGTAGGGGCAGAGGGAGAAGGAGAGAATCCCAAGCAGGCTCCACACTCAGCACGGAGCCCAATGAGGGGCTTGATCTCACAACTCTGGGATATGACCTGAGCCAAAATCAAGTGTCAGACACTTAACCGACTGAGCCACCAAGGCGCCCCTACATACAGTTCTTTATGTTCTCTGAAGGCTGATCCTTGTCTAATATTGCACATGTATTCTCCCAGGTTTTTTTTGTTTTTTTTTTTAAGATTTTATTTATTTATTTGACAGCGAGAGAGGGAACACAAGCAGAGGGAGTGGGAGAGGGAGAAGCAGGCTTCCCGCTGAGCAGGGAGCCCAATGCGGGGCTTGATCCCAGGACCCTGGGATCATGACAGCCGAAGGCAGTCGCTTAACCAGCTGAGCCACCCAGGTGCCCTTCTAATATTGCACATGTATTCTCCCAGTTTCTAACTCCTTTTCTTATGATGAGTAGAAGAGAAGCTGTTACTGTAATTGAACTTATCGGTCTTGTCCTTACTGGTTTGTGTCTATTTGTAATACAAGACCTTCTGTTCCAGCAACATTTATTAAAGGATCCATCCTTTCCTTGATGTGATGATACATACTTTATCACTTAAAGTTCCACCCATACCTGGATATATTTCTTTTTTCTTTTTCAAGATTTTATTTATTTGACAAAACAAGCAGAGGGAGCAGCAGAGAGAGAGAGAGAGAAGCAGGCTCCCCACTGAACAGGGAGGCCAGTGCAGGGCTCGATCTCAGGACTCTGGGATCATAACCTGGACTGAAGGCAGATGCTCAACCAAGTGAGCCACCCAGGGCCCCCCCCCTTTTTTTAAGATTTTGTTTATTTATTTGATGGGGCAGGGAGCTAGATCTATTTCTAATGGTCTTGTGTGCTTGAGTTAATTTGTATGATCCTGCACTAATAGCACAGCTGTTTTTATGCTAAGTTTTGATACCTGTAATAAAGCAAATTCTTCTGTTTTGTTCTTTTTCCTCAGGAATGCTTTGCTATTTACACCTTGGTCTTCTATATACATTTTAGAATTCTACTTACGAAGTTCTTTAAAAACCACAACTGGGTGTTTATTGAATCTGTAAAATAGTTTGAGGAGAATTGACATTTTTATAATACTGAGTAGTTTTTTCCATGAATATCATATGCTCATTTACTTGGGTCTTTAGTAAAGATCATCTCCTTAAAGGTTTTGCAAGTCTTTATTATTAGTTTTTGTTTTGTTTTTTGTTTTTAAAGATTTTTTTTTTTTTAAGATTTTATTTGAGAGAGAATGAGAGCACGAGAGAGAGGGAAGAGAGTCAGAGGGAGAAGCAGACTCCCCACTGAGCAGGGAGCCCGATGCAGGACTGGATCCCGGGACTCCAGGATCATGACCTGAGCCGAAGGCAGTCGCTTAACCAACTGAGCCACCCAGGCGCCCCTGTTTTTAAAGATTTTATTTATTTATTTACTTGAGAGAGAGTGAGAGAG